CACAAATAATCAATCCTTGTTCAGAAATCCCTAGGATTTCTAGAGTGTACGTCTTTACTTGAGCAAACAGCCTAGACTTTCTTCTTTGCAGGGGATGGTGGGCTCGAACTGCTGCCCTTATGGCTAGCAGCCCAACATGTAACCCTCTACTTCATCATTATAAAGTTATATATGCTTTATATTATATTCCTATAAGAGCTTAAGGAAACATCCCACCCCAGTAGTCCAAATCAAGTCCATAAGTCCGATATTAGCCCATATGTCCAAATACCAATCTATAAATACCTCTTCAGCTCAAACAACACATGCAATGATGCCAACTACAGGAAGATCACAGGCTAGTGAGTGGAAAGTCTAGTGGATCCAGTGGCAGTGGAAGCATCTCAGCACTGGCAGGAGTCACCACATGGCTCCTCCAGCTCCAGGGCTCTGGCTCCATCAGGGTAACTCCATGTGTCTTGTCAACAGGAAGACGAAGCAGGGAGGGTGTGCCTGGACTCCAATTACCTGTTTTTCTCTGTCACACCTCCAAATGAGGTCATCAAGCTGCGACCTGATTGACGGGCTAGATTCCACCCCTTGCCCAAGTTGACAGTTGATTATGGAACTGGCACATAGCCCAATTAAAAATGTTGATATTTCACAGCTCATATCCATTTGATATGGATACTTCCAAGCTGGTGTTTGTTCTCGGCCTCTCTCTCCCCAGACATTCACATGCATACACTAAATATTTGTATATATTATTATATATTACGTAATTCAGATACATTGACATCATGCCCAGATTTTACTTTGGTATCTAACTGGGTTAATGGATGTAAGTCTCCAAATATTATGAAAAAAACACTCTATAAACTAAAACATCACTTTGAAATTTTCCGTGCTGGAATCCAAAAAAGAAAAAGTGTTGTGTTTTCTTGAGTCAGTTGATGGAAGCTCGAAGTCAATAGGAAATTTTAAATATAAGAAGAAAGAAGAAAAGGCGTAAGGATAAAGTTTTAATTGCATGTAAAGTTAGCTAACACCAGCAGAGACAGAAGGTTGACTTTACCTGACCACAACTAAGAGGCTCCTGTAAAGCCTATCCTCACAGTCTTGATTGACTTTGACTACTTTTCTTGTTCTCATTTCATCTCAGAATTTGCCCAGCATTCGCATCACTATTTCTGCTTCTGTTTCAATGGCCAATCTCTGGAAGACCTTGTGGCAAGGGAGCCCTCACTATCAGACTGTCTGGTGATCCAGATACAGCCCTCCCATTCCTACCATGTTCATGCCACCTCTGGCTCATACTTACCTGGTTCTCGATAGCTTTGAAACAGAAATTGATTCAATAAAACAAATACCTAGATTTCTGTTCTGTACACCACAGAAACATTCTTCTATATTATCAGGTAATACCAGATTCTTCCCAGGATTTCAATTCTCAAATTTGAGATTTTGGATTTCAACGTATCTGGAGGGAAAGATGAGGGTGGACACTTGCAAACATGCAGGTGCCAAGAGTGCTTCAGTTGTAGGTGATTTTCACACATCTCTACTACAGAGAGCAGAGTTGGAAAATTGCAGATGCTTTGAAGCTCTTTCCCGTTATGCAGATTTTGGCATGCTGTTTTTCTCAGTCTCCATGTCCGCAGTGGTCAGTTTTTTGAAAATATTATTTATATTGCAGGGTTGTTAGGAGAATTAAATAAAGGAACACCTGTAAAACATGTTCATTATAATCCCCTTAAATTACATAAAACAGGAATAATTCCCACATTTTTTCATATATTGAACTTAAAGCATCTGCTACCTCATAGGTTCACATACATAAGATGTTAATATTCTAAAAAAATAATTTAAATATGTTAATATAGGATTATCCTATTAAGAACAGTATTGCAAGAAGAGCCTCATAAGTTTGTATTTACAGTGCTCTGCTTTTTATATAAAAATGCATCATAAAAGAAATTATATTTACAAAGTCATTACGCTTATTAAATTTGCCTACAAATAAAATAGGTTGAAAATTTATGATATTAATGTACTTGCTTTACTACCCTCTCTCTACAGATGAAAATGGCAAATAAATGCTGTTCTCCTAGCGACCAGGTAGGATTTGTATTTTCACAATGATAAATTAATAAATTCCCCAAATAGTCTTTTCTTTGAAATTTGAGTTGGAGATGTTTGATATCCTGAAGTTGATGCTCATGCTCTAAATCTTTACTCTGCAGACTCCACCTTTATAGTAGAAATAGTGTGAGGGAAATCGTTCTGATCTCACATTTACCATGTTATGAGACATTTGTACAGTGGCAATTAGGTTTTGTAAGGAAAAATGATTTAGACAGTAATGCATGATTAACCAAACAGAAATGTTTGTTATAGAGACGTCTCTATAATTGGTTACAATATTAAAGATAACATAATTTTCATTGATAACTTCCTATTTGGGCAAGCTCACACTTCATAGGTCTATGTACTAACATATTGTTTGAAGGTAGGGTAGATATTATCAGTGCTCTTTGAAAGTCAGAGAATTTGTTCATTGTTCCCATCCTGGCTTAGGCTCACTAATATCAGTAACTATCAGTTTATTCCTATTGAGAGCAAATTCTGAGTTTCAGCATGTTTGACTTTCTATTTCAAAGACTATCCAAAACCTAGGTCCAAAAATACTTTATAATATATTATAATAAAAAGCTTTACTATCACATATATATGCTTTGAAACTACTATATCAGTCTTCCATTTCCTATTTAAGAATGTAAGTTTAAGATGTAATATAATCAAAAGTTTTTTTTAAATTATACTTAATTATATTTCTAGTTATGTGAATGTGTGTATATATATTTAAGGGACATATGCACCTCTTCATTATATCCCAAGTTAAGAAAACCAAAAAAATTTGTTTAATTTTCATCAGATGCTTACAAAACCTGTTTAAATAATGTTTGAATTCAAATGCAAGTAAGGGTGTGCCAATCAAATCTTGACTGAAACCCAGGTGAAATTAAGGCTATATTTTAAATTACTGTAAATCACAGTAGCTCATTACAAGAGAGAACACAGTTGCATGCTAAGGTTGTCAAGGCTGTAGTAACTGTTTTCAGGAGCACAGAGCCTCACCTTACTCCCATGGCGCAGCTGGTGGTTCAGAACTGCTGACCTTCAAGTGAACAGACCAACAATTAACTCACCTTGCTGTCAGGGCTCCTAATCAACTGAGCCAATAGATAAGTGGAGAAAGGATTGAAATTGTCAAGGACTTCATTTTGCTTGGATCCTTAATCAGTGTTCATGGAAACAATAATCAGGAAATCAAAGGGTCACTTTGAGGATAAGGTGATAATGGTTCCCCGAGTCAGAGCCCTGGGTTGGGTCACTCTGAGTCTGGATCAACTAGATGGCAGTGGGTTGGGTTGGGTTTATCCTCTATTATTTCTTAGCGTGTTTCATCGATGCTTGTTTTTACCAACATTTGCATATTTTGTATGAATTATAGGAGTTTTAGATTTACAGTTGCTTTTCACCAAAAGGCACTTGTACGAGGGGGTACACCCCCCAAAACCCAGATGTGATTTGAGGGGGATAGTGCATTTGGAACTCATTCCACCAGGTCAGACTGTTAAATCAAGCTAACTATTTAGAGGTTCTGAAAGGATTGTGGAACAGTGGGATGGTAGGGTGGAGGCCTGATTTGTGGCAGACAGGGGGACTGGTTTTGCCACCACGACAATGTACCTGCTCACACAGTCATCTCAGTGTACCAGTTTGGGGCAGCATTCAGTATGTATCTCTTGCCCCAAGCACCTTACTCACCTGATCTTCTTCCATGTGACTTGTTTTTTGATTATGCAAATGCAGAGGGACATGAAAGGACAGCGATTTGATGACATAGAATAGGTGAAGAATAAAAAGAGGGAGGTGTTGTCAGCCATCAAACAGATGAGTTTGAAAAGTGTTTTCAAGAATGGAATCACATTTTGACAAATGTATTAAGTGTAATGGAGAGTATTTTGAAGATGATAAGGTGGTTTTTTTTTAATTAAATACATAGTTTTGAAAAAAGTCCGGGTTTTGCGAGGATACCCCCTCGTATGTTCTTGCATAATATTGCAGAGTAAGATATTTGATGTCTTTGTATAAACAGACAGACATATTTGAAAAACAATTTTTAGTAAATTGAATTTTTTAAATATACTTAGCTGGTCTTCAAAATGTTTTATTTTTTTAATCCATAATTATAAAACGCTGCTATGAAACTAAATTATACAATAGTAACCCTCTGGCAAAATCTTTTCTGGAGAGATGAAATGATACTTTGACACATTTATAATTTTAAACTTGATCTGAACCCTCAGAATCATCACCTGCCCTTCCTTGTATTGTTCACAGCAGCTCCTCTTTAAAATACATTCATTTTGTTTGCAGTGCAGCCACTGCTAGAATCTGAGCACCATTTTGGGCATACAATACCTTTTGACATTGATATAGTAGCAATGGTGCTTCATATAAACCATGGGATATGGTTCCAGAGATTTCTCTAATACTTTAAACTGTTTTCAATTCAAAATAGCACTAATTTTCCAGGCACCACCCGATTTGTCTTTCATGTTACCACTGATTGGGTTCTAGTCACCACCCTTTAAATAGTACATAAGCACAAACTGTAACATATGTGTGCATGATAGGGAATTATGATAAAAATTATATTAATAGGGGTACAATAAAATATTTAGAGACAGCTGTCATAAATCAGTAATTCTTTCCTCTGAGGAATTTGTTTTGAGATTGGATGATAACTTAAAGATTGACTATTGGAACCCCTCTCGCGTGGCGTAGGTGCATGGTAGGAGTGGACTTTGGCAATTACTTATATAAAGATAACACCCTGCTAGTGCCGTGGACTATGACTTGGGCTACTAGCCACAAGGTCAGCAGTTCAAAACCACAGGCGACACATGAGGCTTTCTACTTCCATCAAGATTACAACATCAGAAACCCACAGGGGCTATTCTACCCTGTCCTCTAGGGTAACATTGACTCAAAGGTGGTGGAATTTTGACACACTCTTAGCAATTCAACTGCAGAATGTGGGGTTGCCATGAGTCACATCAATGTGATGGCAACTGCTTTGGCTTTTATGCATTTTCTCTGCTAGATGGATTCTAGTTAGTAAGACTTGAATTTAACCTGATTTAACATGAAACTCACATCATAGGCTCTTATACCAAGGACTGCATTGTCTGGAAAGCTGGATAAGTTAATGTTAGTCTAATCTGAAACGGATGTAATCAAATCACTAACACAGACACACACACAAATTTTGGATGCCATGAAAGTGATCTTATTTAATAAGTATAATAAAGGGTGCTTGTCTTTATTCAATTTGCAGTCCAGTCCTGTTAACCTCTTGAAGCAAAGCCCATATCTTCTTTAATTCATAGTACTGTTAATAGAAATCTGAAGGAATTGCTTTGAGATCAAGGATCATATTTGGTATTCTTGTATTCCGTATACCACCTAGCATTGAGCCTTTGTACAAAATAGAGAGGAAGTAAATAGAGTGTTGAATTGATTTGGAGCAGCAGATCTTAAAGAAGTTAATACGTTGTGTTAGACAGAGTTCTCTAAAGAAACAAAAGCAGGACACTTACGATTTTATAGGTAGATAGATGATAGATAGATAGATAGATAGATAGATAGATAGATAGATAGATAGATAGATAGATAGATACAGCATGAAGGAATAGAATAGTTAATTAGTTCACACAGCAGTACAGAGGGCTCAGTCCAACTCACTTCCATGAAACAGTTAATATACTGGCAGTCCTTCAACTCATGAGGCTGCTGGGTCCAAGATCAGGGAAGCAGACAGCAGAGTCTTCTGTAATGCAATGCAGGCAGTCCAGCCACAGGCAGCAAACAGTGGGGTAGTTCACCAACAGTCAGCCAGATGACAGGATTTGACAACCCCTAGCTCAAGCATTGTATGTACCAGCAGTATGGTGAAGCCGGTCTTGAAGGAACCTCAAGCTATAGTGACACATTCCATAGATTGAGTGTCCCACAGGTAGTAGAGCTCACAAGTTGAGGCAGAGAACTAGCTAAAACAGCCGCACACTGGTCCAATCACCAGAGAGCAAGAGATAGAAATGCGAGGCTCGCCGAGCCATTTATCTCTTTGCCTTTCAAACTGCGATCTTATTAATCCCACATGTTCTTATTGGCCAGGTTGGCACAATAAGCCTACCTGTCACATACTTGAATCTTTAAAAACATGAGTGACATTCCCTTTCCATCCAACTATCAATTCTTGACTTTTATATGTAGTGAAGCAGTCACAATGTTTTGATAAAGATGAAAAATCAGGAGTGTTGGACAACTGCTAAAATTGATGAATGATGAAACTGCCCTCGCCAACAGAGCAGAAATAAAAGGATAATACATTAAATACAGAGTTGAGATGTTATAGAATCTTATATCTATTAACAAAATAACCATATAATTTATCATTCAAACTGGGGCGCTTTTGTCTGCAGCAAAGACTAACCTAAAAGAGAACTTAGGATCCAAATAAAAATTAGAATTGTCCCAGACAAACTGGAACATATTCACCCCAATAAAGTAACAAGCAGTTCTGAATATTCCCAGAATAAGTTTCCTTTTGAATAATCTACATTAAAGGGACTAGAAAAGAAACCATAGTGATACAGATGAATTCCTTTTCAAATACTAAATGACACAGGTAATTTTGATGTCTCAGCATAAAAAACTTACTCTCTACAAAGTAATAATCATATTTATGTGTGATTTATATGTTATCTTGACTAGTTTGAGTCAAATATACGGACTGTCCATAGAAGCATCATCAGAAAAGGTAGATGAAAATATATCACTTTTATAATGGTTTATGTCCTTTGATTTAATTATGGTAATATAATCAGGTAGGCATTCACAAAATTGTGATATACATTTCTGGAACATATAATAAGGCATTAGCAAATCCATAATGTAAAAGATAAAATTAGCTTCCCTTAGTATAATTTACGAACTGCCTATACCAAAAGGATTTCTAAAGTAACCATTATTCCTAATAATAGCACAGATATTACTTATTTATTTTCTAATGAAAATTAATAGATTTAAATTACATATGGAATTTAATTACATTCACATTCAACTAATAGAAATTTCAGATTAACAACATGTATTATTGGTCTGGTCAACTATCTTGACCAGAAGAGTACCTCTTCATTATTCCTCAGTATAAAATTTCTGTTCAACTCTGTGCCAATGACTGAATTCACCAGAATGTACAAGGGAAACTAATATGTGCTTCCCAGAAGCCTTCTGCGGTTGGGTCCATCACAACAGAGTGGAATATCCCTGTGGCATTTCTGAGGCTGTAGTATTCGTGGAAGCACACCGACTCATCTTTCGCTGGCAGAATGGGTGGTATATTCACACCGCTGATCTGTTGGTTAAAAGTGTGACGTATAACCCATTGCAACACCAGAGATCCGTAAAGATTATAATAGGACCTATTGATTATGTAGAATTGTGTGGTACTGAAGATCTTGTCATACACCTCACTTCATTTACTCCTGGAAACAGACACAGCATTGATAGATAAGGACTTTGACCTTCAGAGACTCCTAAAGGGCATTTGGCCTGGAAGTCCAGAGTCTAGCTTTTAAAGTAGCTGGGCCAGCAGCTCTCCTAGAATGGTATGGATCCGTTACTAACCCCAAACTTAAGAAGACCATCAAGCGAATACTTTTCCAGAGCTACATTGCAGCTCATTAACTTTCATAATGTATTAGGGGAGGGGGGGATTGATATGGTAAATCATGCAACTTTAGACGCCTTTATATTTTATATCCCTTTTTAATATTTGATTATAACATCTAACCAAGCATCCCGTATCAATTAGTTTGGGCAACATCCTAACTTAAGAAAACTTGCTGAAAGTATTTACTACTACTATGTTCTGGCTTCACATAATAGAGGTATACTTATGAACACTTCTGGCCTATTATCTTTCTTTTGATGTAAAGGTCACTCTTTGGTATTCCTTGTTTTTAGCAAAAATGCTTAAAGCTATTCCTATCATAAATAAGTTATATAAATTGCTATACTCATGCAATGAGTTGAGAACTAAATATTCGCCATTGAATTCATGTTGAATGTCAAGCATCTGCTAAATACCTTACTTAGAAAAATGCCATCAATTTTCGCAATGAATGTTCGGTACATGATGATTTACAGTCGTTACATTGTTCTTGGTATTATAAACGAGAACATTGTACTTATATGACCCAACCAGATAAAAAGGGCAACATGCAATTAGATCTGTGTGACCAGATTTAAAGTGGGACACCATTGACCGGGGGGTGGGTGGGGGTGGGGTGGGGTGTTATTCTTGATTAAAAGTTTGGTCTATATGGACCAAATAGACTGTTCCCTAGCTTGTCCAGCATTCTTTCCAAAAATCAGGACTTTTTTAAAATGCAAAAAAAATGGGACTGTCCTGCCAAAAGTGAGATGTCTGGTCACCTTAAGATGTTGTACAATAGCCCCTTATATGGTTTTAAATCCATAAGCAATGCAAATAGTCTAGCCCTTTAGTGGTTTTGTTGTTGTTATGTTTCTTAAACCAAAACTCGGGGGGAAAAAAGGTCACTGACATTGAGTTGATGCCAGCCCACAGCGACCCTGTCCTACAGGGTAGAGCTGCTCCGATTAGTTTCTGAGACTGCACCTGTTAACATCATAGAAAGCCCCATCTTTCCCATGTGGAGCAATTGGTGGTTTTGAACTATTAACCATGTAGTTCTCAGCCTAACATGTAACTACTACACCACCAGGGCCCTGCTTTTTCTTAAGACAGTATTAATGCATAGTAAACAATAATTACTTATATCCCATTTGTGAGAGGTGGTCTCTCAGGCAGTATTGAATTTGCACAAGAATCATGAAGTAGACAATTTACTTTGTTTTTTATGTTGAAAAACTGAGGCTCAGCAAAATTAAATATTTCCAATTGCTCATGGGCTTAAAATAAATATATTAGTATGACAGCATTAGTAGATTACATGTGATCTTCACACCTTAAGAAACTTTCGAGTGCAGGAACCAGAGAAAGAGTTGGGTGACTTTATGAACCTCTATCTAGTGTAGTTGATGAGACAAAATTATGACTTTTAATTCTTTAAATTATTTGTATTCAACCCTCGAACTCTTTTTTTAAAAGTTATTTTATTGGGGGCTCATACACTTCTCATCACAATCCATACATACATCCATTGCGTCAAGCACATATGCACATTTGTTGCCCTCATCATTCTCAAAACATTTGCCTCCCACTCTAGCCCCTAATATCAGTTGCTCATTTTCCCCCTCCCTCCCCACCCCCTCCCTCATGAACCCTCCATAATTCATAAATTATTATAGTTTTGTCATAAGTTACACTGTCCGATGTTTCCCTCCGCCCTCTTCTCTGCTGTCCATCCCCCAGGGAGGAGGCAATACTTAGATTCTTATAATTGGTTCCCCCTTTCTACCTCACATTCCCTTCTCCCTCCAGGCATCGCTCCTCTCACCACTGGTCCTGAAGGAGTCATCTATACTGGATTCCCTGCAGCATTTGAACTCTTAATAATGTTCCTAATTTAGCTATACTTACAACTCTCCATCATCTAATATTCCTTACTTTTCTCTTTTGCATAATTAAAAAATACTGTTGGAAAAAAACTTTCTTTTCTTTTCACTATTATTGTTATTAACACTTTTATTGGCATATAAGTCACCTATCATACAATCTAGTAGTTTACTCACATTAAGAAGAGTTTTACTATTACTTCACTTCAGATCTTGAAGTCAAAACTAGCTTTTCATAGACCTTATAAGATGTTCCTCACCAACACTGAGACTGTCTGTTGTTTGTCAAGTAAGAAACTGATGCAAGACATCACCTCCTTTGAGCACATTGCAGCGGCTATTCCACTCACTCACGTATCTCTATTGAGGACAATCCATAAAGGCACTAGATTCTCAAAGACGTGCTAAGGTATAAATGGTTAGCACCAGGAAACTGCTTAGAGGAAATCTTCATTTCATAAAGTGGTCAGTATATCTATGACGAGTTTATTTTTATTTTTAAATTTTCAATTCTTTAAAATGTTTACTATATATGAACATGTTAATCAACTTCTCATAACATGGCAAAATGAGGAAAGAAAATATTAAAATGAATTGTTTTTAATCACTTACTCAGAACTTTGTGTTACATTAAAATTTTAGAAAAGACCCAGAAATGTTAGCTTAGATTGAAGTCATGAATCAATATATTAATTTGTATTATTTTTCCACTAGGCATTAGAATCATATTGATACTTTTCGGAGGGGTCTAAAATTATTATAAATACTCAAGACTGGTTGTAAGAACCTATTCTTTTTATATTTGTTTCAATATTATAAGGAATTTAGCAATACATAGTTGTAAAGAAAAGCACAATAATTAGTTACTTTTACAAAATCATGGAAATATCTGAAGTAATAGTCTTTAATAGAATGTAATTCTTTTAAAAATATGGGGGGAAAATTCTAATTCAGCAGAGAGGTTAATTACTAGTGAAAACTGTAAACATATAGAAGTCCATATGTTTATAGAACCTAGACCAATACAGACTTTGGATTTTCTATTAATGATGGTATATATCATATCATGTATACTTCATTTGGATATTTTTAAATTTAGTTAGACTTTCCAAGTTTCAACTTACAACTGATTTTAAGTGTGTCAAAAAATTTAGAAGACAACTTGTTTAATATTTGTTTTTCTACTCCTGTGACAGTATGCTCGTATTAAGGCTTGGTTTTTAATTTTCAAAGGTTTCCCTCTGCAGGTTGTGCATATGGGGTGGGTAAATGAGAAACTCCAAGGAACGGACTCCTCCCAAACCTTCAGACACAAGTTCCTGGCACTAAAAGGTTCATCCTTCTACATTTTCAACACTCCTCCGGTAAGAACATTCTCGAAATACAATTTGGCTTGCTTTGTTGCTTAAGTTCTTTATATTAGAGAAGCAAAAATCAAAGATGATGTTTGAAAATCAACAATAGTGGTTTTGCTGATTCTCTTGTTTACCTAGTGGCTGGGTGTGGATTGACTGGCTTTTTCTTATTCAAATGTCATAAATTAATGAATAAATTTTTTTATCTCAATTCAGAAATCTATTATGAGGTATAATGTTTTGTTTTGTTTTGCCTAAAAATTAGTTTGGCTTAGAGGTAGAGATGGATCAGGCTTTATATAAGAGGTAAAAAACACATATCAAGGTAAGTCAAAATTTATTTCTGTAGAATCTTAAAAACCTTTATTAGATTGAAAAATCCAAATGTGAAGATATTTTTCTTGAAATATACAGTTGAAGGGGCTCCTGCCACCTCTCTAGCCCTATCCCAGTGAATTCTCTGTTCTTCACTCTGCACCGCATCGAAACGGCAGCTTTGATGTCCTGGAGGGGCAGGCATCTTCCACGCATCTCAGAATCGCTAAAAACATCTTTTCTTTGGAAGAGATCTTTGCATGTATGAAATGGAACCTTATTAGGAAGACTGTTTGACTTACCATCTCATATGGCTAGAAACAAACAAAAAAGCTCTAGATATGATTAACTTGATGGGCAAAAAATAAAAATTTAAAAGCTATTCTTATCCTCAAAAATTTAATTTTTATTAAAATATGAATGAGCAGCCTATGTATGTAGAATCCGTAATGTAAAGTTATTGCTAAATGCTGTTTCTACAATCTTATTTCCCAAGTTCCATTCATACCATTCTTCCAAAACTACCAAATGTCATGTGGTAATCTGCCTAGAAATTTACCAATTAAATGCACTGTCAGGGAGTCTGAAAATTAGAGCTGCAAACAAAAAAGCAAAACTTAATAGCTTCAGATATCTAATAAAACAACTTTTAAAACTAAAAGAATAATGATGAACTCTCTACCATATGAAAAATAAAAGAACATAATTGGGCTTCCTCTTTAGAACATCAAGATAGAAATGTCTTGCATGTTCGTTTTATTGTTAAAGTCTAAATTTTTTGAATAATTTTAGATTGCAGAAATGTCACACATAAGGGCACAGAAGTTTTCTGTAAACATTTACCCAGATGTTCTGGGTGTTAACACCTTATACAACCCTGATGAGTTTGTTACAAATTCAGAAAATGTCATTGGTAGACCACTGTTAACCTGGCCTCTAAATCGATTCAAATTTTGCCAGCTATTCTTTAATTGTTGAGAATCCAACACAGCATTACACATTACATTTAACAAATGTTAATAGATGTCCTTTTAATAAACTAATGATGTGAACTCTGATATTGTGTCATCTCAATATTGACATAAATAATTGAATGTCATCAAAACAGATTCAATAATGCTTTGTTACATGTCTTGTTAAGTAAGATTTTGAATGGTTTTGCCTAAGGAAGTCTCTGAAATTAAAAGAAAACATTAAAAATAACTCCAAGTAACCTGGATAGCCTCCATTCAGCACAGGCTGTGAAATACAAGAAGACTGGGAACATGATTTATGATTCTAAGAGTGTAGCTATCCATAATCTATATTTTTGTTACTGCTTCACGCAGAAGTGCCTCATACATTACCATTAGAGTCTAAATGTGACCACAGAGCTGCTCAGCATCTAATCTTAAATTGAGGACAAGAACATATGTCAGCGTTATGTGCATCAGAGAGAAGAGTCGTCAGCTCATCAATTGAACCTTGAACGTACCCACCCTGACAGAACAAAGGGTGGCGGGAGGAGTAAAGTGTGACAAAATGTCCCCACATGATACAACTGAGAGTTGTTTAAGGAATCCCAATGTTTCTATCTAATTGGTCAGTAATAGTCTCAGTTTATGATTGTTCTCTACATACAACATTCTCAATTATGAGAAATGCTTAAAATATCGAATCAAAGTTCTGTCATTGAAAACAAAGTTGAATTTAATCTACATGTGCTGCCATTTTCCACTGTTGACAAAATTCTAACTTACTTTTCATTGGTGAGATAGACAATATCATATTTTTATGATTAGTACAATGTTTTGCTTATTTATTTAAAATTCAGCAGTCAGTATTCCTAGCATTGATCCATGTTACCGACATCGTATCAGACAAATAAATAGATTGCCTGACCTCCATTGCTCAGATTTGCCAGAAGCAAGCATTACCACTCTTTACTACCATAAATATTTTGTTTAGAAATTTAAAACCTGTTGACACGTCTGCTCTAAGGAAAAGAAATAACTGACAAATTAAAATCAATGTCACACCCGGCTCACTAGAACCTGTGTTATCTCCGTGTTGCCACACAGCAGGTCCTTAGGGCTGTTGCAGACATAGGCTTTCCTGAATTGCCTCTTCTCCTTAAATTTCTTCCTGCAGTGTTGCCTTACCCAAATTTGATGTTCTTCTTTTGTTGTCTTTCCTTTTTTAAAACTACAACACCCCTACATTAGAGATACTTTAAGAATGTATTGACTATATTACATCTCTTCACAAATACTTTCAGTGTGACTGGTACTTTGAAATGCAAACAAATGCATGTGTGGAGTTGGGAATTTTCCAGTCTGGTGCCAAAATTTAATGTTTGAGGGGCTTGAATACTTTGCTGGTGACTTGAGAGAGTCCAAGTACCACAGTGAATCTGACTTCCTCTTCAGGAACAACATGCACCTTAAAGTATTTCGTCTGACTTTGTATATAATCCTAATAAAGCTACTTAGCTTTATTACAACTGGCCATTAAAGTCCCATATGAGTCGATAATTACTTCTTATCATTAGAGCCCAGTATGACTAATACACTAGAAACTTTGGAAATTGCATCTTCTAAATCAGTTGGGACCAGGCAGCACATTTTGTCTTTTGTTTGGCCTCGATTTACAAGGTGTTTGCAAAATGCCAGGTAATTGGCAGGAAGTGCTTATGTTCTCAGAATTAGCTTCTCTTCTGGGCATAAGGAGATGTAGAACATCACCGTCAGGTAAAAGTTGGATTTACTCAAGCAGGTTTTTTAAATGTACGAATTCTGTTTTCTTTTGTCTTTGTTTTTCATTTTCTGAAGAAATGCAATATTGATTTACCAGAGTTCTGGTAAATTTTATAATATTGTGATTTTTGCTTTATTTTTATTATTATTGAAATAGGATTTTCTAACTTTTAAAATATAAAGTATTATGTTTCAGCATTATATTAAATTTAACTCTTAGGCATACAATTCTTTGAGGGCAGGGGTTGTTTTGTTTGTAAGTTGCTATTAAGGAGAGACGCATGGGAAAGTATTGCTTTTGTAGGTAGGTCCCTTCAAGTTCATTCTAAATCATGGCAATCCTAGGCACAGAAGAACAAAACACTGTTTTTTCTATGCATCCTCACCAACCATTGGATTTTTTAAAGGCATTGTTTCAGCCAAGATGTCGATTTATTTTGTTGAGGACCGTCCCCTTTTCACAGGGATCAGTCCCTCTTTTTTTTTTTTAATCACTTTGGTAGGGGCTCATACAACTCTTATCACAATCCATACATACATCAATTGTGTAAAGCACATTTGTACATTCATTGCCCTCATCATTCTCAAAACATTTGCTCTTCACCTAAGCCCCTGACATCAGGTCCTCATTTTTTTCCCTCCCTCCCCGGTCCCCATTCCCTCATGAATCCTTGATAATTTATAATTATTATTTTGTCATATCTTGCCCTTTCCGACGTCTCTCTTCGCCCACTTTTCTATTGTCCATCCCCCAGGGAGGAGGTTATATGTAGATCCTTGTAATCCGTTCCCCCTTTCCACCCCACCCTCCCTCTACCCTCCCAGTATCGCCACTCTCACCACTGGTCCTGAAGGGATCACCTGCCCTGGATTCCCTGTGTTTCCAGTTCCTGTCTGTACCGGTGTACATCATCTGGTCTTGCCAGATTTGTAAGATAGAATTGGGATCATGATAGTGTTGGCAGGGGGAGCAGGGAGGAAGTATTTAGGAACGAGAGGAAAGTTGTATGTTTCAACATTGCTACACTGCACCCTGACTGGCTAGTCTCCTCCCAGTGACCCTTCCATAAGGGGATGTCCAATTGCCTACAGATGGGCTTTGCGTCTCGACTCCGCACTCCCCCTCATTGAAAATGATATGATTTTTTGTTCTTTGATCCCTGATACCTCATCCCTTTGACACCTCATGATTACACAGGCTGGTGTGGTTCTTCCACGTGGGCTTTGTTGCTTCTAAGCTAGATGGCTGCTTGTTTACCTTCAAGCCTTTAAGACCTCAGACGCTATATCTTCTGATAGCCAGACAGCATCAGCTTTCTTCGCCACATTTGCTTATGCACCCATTTGTCTTCAGCAATCATATCAGGGAGGTGTGCACACAATCGTACAATTTCTTTGTTCTTTGATGCCTGATAACTGATCCCTTTGGCATCTCGTTATCGTACTTCTTACATGTGGGCTTTGTTGCTTCTGAGCTAGAAGGCTGCTTGTTTACCTTTAAGTCTTTAAGACCCCAGACTCTATATCTTTTGATAGCCAGGCACCATAAGCTTTCTTTACCATGTTTGCTTACTCACCCGCTTTGTCTTCAGCGATTGTGTTGGGAAGGTGAGCATCATAGAATGCCAGTTTAACAGAATAAAGTATTCTTGCATTGATGGAGTACTTGAGTTGAGGCCCAATGTCTATCTGCTACCTAGATACTAAACCTGTAAATATATGCACATAGATCTATTTCCCCATCCTCATATAAATATATTTATTTATGTACATGCCTTTATTTAGACCTCTATAAATGCCGTTTGTCTCCTAGTTCTTTCCTCTATTTCCTTTGAGGGATCAGTCCCTCTTCGTAAGGTGACCAGATTTTAACATTGGTAAAGCGGGACAAAAGCGGACACCATTGATAAAACTCATATCCTGGTGAAATAGCCACATGGCAGCCAAAAACCGTCTACC